ATACACACACACACACACACACATATATATATATACACACACACACACACACACATATATATATATACACACACACACATACATACACTCTCTAGGTGTATTTTACTATTAATATATATTATCAAATTACATGTAGACTGATACTTTTATTCTTTTTGAAACACAAATATTTGTGTTCAGCGAAGTCTCCAGAGTACAACAGTACCCCTCATGTACAGGTTTTATGTGAAAAGAATAGGGGAGGAGGAGTCTGCGCTAAACAGCAAAAATGGTAGCTGCAACCCTCAATAGGGAATCCCTCAAAAAACCCTAATAAAATAGAAAAGAAAAAGGGGTGAAGGGCTGCGCTGGATACAGATGAAATAGTATAAAATAATAAGAATAGGATATGAATATACAATGAAAAATATACAGTAAAAATACAATAAGATAATGTAAAACAGAGTCCGTGCACTAGTAGTGGTAAAACTTAAAACTTCAAAAGTCCAATAATATGCATAAAAGACGTCTCACTGTTATGTAGATGAGCTGTATATGTGCAGTCCTCAAAGGTTAATCCTTCCGAATTTTCAGGGAATCCGTATATGAAAGATAAGAACATAAACACACTTCCAATGGTATAGTATATACTGAGAGGTTTAGCGAAATTGAATAAAAGTGGAGAATGGTAAACTCACATTTGTTGGAGCTTAGGACCAGCTCTTAGTTGTAAGGCACTTAGCGGTATAATCCCCGCAAATGGATATTCTGTGAGGATAGGTCTCTCCGTCCGGCTTTGGTTTCGTTAGGTATCGCACGGTATATAAAAACAGATATAGTGCTCTCAGTAGGAAGGGAAAATATAAAATAAGTTATACTCACATTGGTAGAGCAGGGAGTACTGCTCTATTTATAATGCGCCTGGTGGCGCCACAGGTGGGGATTATTCCACCAGGCGCATTATAAATAGAGCAGTACTCCCTGCTCTACCAATGTGAGTATAACTTATTTTATTTTATATTTTCCCTCTTTTATGCATATTATTGGACTTTTGAAGTTTTACCACTACTAGTGCACGGACTCTGTTTTACATTATCTTATTGTATTTTTACTGTATATTTTTTATTGTATATTCATATCCTATTATTTTATACTATTTCATATATTTTATATATTTCATCTGTATCCAGCGCAGCCCTTCACACCTTTTTCTTTTCTACAGGTTTTATGGTGTTACAGCGTCAAATATAAGGCTTGTGTTTCATTTTTTTCACATTAAAATTTGCCAGATTGGTTATGTTGCCTTTGAGACCCTATGGTAGCCCAAGAATGAATAAATAACCCATATGATGGCATACCATTTGCAATAGTAGATAACACAAGGTATTGCAACTGGGGTATGTCCAGTCTTTTTTAGTAGCCACTTAGTCACAAACACTGGCCAAAATTGGTGTTTTTTTGCATTTTTCACACACAAACAAATATTAATGCTAACTTTGGCCAGTGTTTGTGACCAAATGGCTACTAAAAACAACTGGACATACCCCATTTGCAATACCTTGTCTACTATTGCAAATGGTATGCCATTATGGGTGTAAATATAATTCCTGGCTACTATAGTCTCAAAGGCAACGTAACCGAATTTCAATTTCAATTGCTATATTTGACCCTGTAACTTCCCAAAACACCATAAAACCTGTACATAGGGGGTACTGTTTTATACTTGAGACTTTGCTGAATACAAATATGTGTATTTTATTGCAGTAAAAGCAAACAGTATTATGACATTGACAGTTAAAATGTCATGTAGAACTAAAAAAATAACATTTATTTTCTCCCATTTTTTTCATATTAAATTGTTTCATAGCTAAATATTTGATATTAAATGAAAGCCCTGTTTCCCCTGAATAAAATTATATATAATAAGTGTGGGTGCATTTAATATGAAAGAGGAGATTTACGGTTGGACAGACGTAGCGCAAATGCCAGGTTTTGTTTACGTTTTGTTTTGTTCACAACGTGTACATTTGGCTCAGTCCTTAAGGGGTTAACACTGATTTATTTTTTACCTGGGGAGATGAGAAGGTCCAAAGTTTCCCTGCCTGGCCCAGGGACCAAAGCCTTATGATGTGGTGACCAGAATAAAGTTCACTTCACTTGTCCTTCCTGCTCCAATCTTCTTTTCTTCTCCTTCATTTGACACAGTCTTCTTTTTCTTCTGACACTGTCTTCTCTCCTCCTTTGCTCCTTCACCTTTGCTACTTTCTGCTTATTTTGTGCCCTTTTCCTTTTTCTTTCTGATACCTTTCTGCTCCTTCTCCTACTTTACCTTTGCGCTCCTTCTGCCCCTTGCTACCCTTTTCTGCTCCTTCTCCTACTTTACCTTTGTGCTCCTTCTGATTCTTTGTGCTCCTTCTGTCCCTTGCTGCTCCTTGCAGACCCTTCCTCCTTCTTATTGACCCTTCCAGCTCCTTGCTGTCCCTTCCAGCTCCTTGCTGTCCCTTCCAGCTCCTTGCTGTCCCTTCCAGCTCCTTGCTGTCCCTTCCAGCTCCTTGCTGTCCCTTCCAGCTCCTTGCTGTCCCTTCCTGCTCCTTGCTGTCCCTTTCTGCTCCTCCTCTTACTTTACCTTGCTGTCTCCTTCCTGCTCCTTGCTGTCTCCTTTCTGCTCCTTGCTGTCTCCTTTCTGCTCCTTGCTGTCTCCTTTCTGCTCCTTGCTGTTTCCTTTCTGCTCCTCCTCTTACTTTACCTTGCTGTCCCTTCACGTAGGCTGTTTCCCCCAGCCCTCACTTACCTGATCTGTAGGTGGATTCCCCCATCTATCACTTACCTGATCTATAAGCTGCCCCCCCCTCCTCCTCCCCAATGTCCAAATTTACCTGATCTGTAGGCTGTCTCTGCTGTTGCTGGCTGCACTCTGTGCTGCTCCCCTGGGGATTCAGTCGGAGAAGCAGGGATAAGATGTAGCTTCCTATCCCTGTCTCTCTCCATGAATACTAAGTCCCCCTGTAACAGATCGACGGGCACCCTGACTGGGTACCTCCATTGAATGATGCTCCTAGCGCTTCCTGAGGACTCCAAGCACTGCAGCAGACACCACAACCACCGAACCGGAGAAGCATACAAGTGCTCTCAAGCATATGAATGCTGTAAACAGCTGAACGGGAAAAGCATACAATCAGCTTACACTCCTGGCAATCAGAATATAATCCAATTCCCCCAATAACAAGACGACACTTTGTTTTGAGGTCAAGCAGAACATATACAGGCTATATGAAAAATAATTACTGTATAATGGGTTCCCTGTTGTATAGTTTAAAACTACTGCACGATGTCTTTGTGCACCAAATACCGGCGAGATGGCACCGTGTAGAAAAGTCCAAACAGTGTCTGTGAGTTAAAATGGCCGCCATCCATTGTTCTCACCATGTGCCTCTGATACATGAAATGGTGGCCACCCAGTAACTCCACAGTTTGTCTGGTAGTCTATCCAGCCGGACCAACAGATGAAACACATGGGGAACAGTGCAACAAACGAAGGGAATCATAAAAAATATGGATAATAGTCATATTTGTGCACAATCTCCAGTTTTGTCACAGGGCACAAATAGTGTTTTCAAATGCCATATATCCCAGGATCCCAGGGCCATAGTCAGAAGGTAGGAGGCGGGCAAGTTGCCCCCTCCAAGAACATGTGGCGAAGCCTGTTCCGACCACCCCCCATTGCATTTTTCACACACAAACAAATATGAAACCTCCCCATCATGGGGTTAATTTTTATTCCTGGGATACCATTTGGTCTCAAAAGCAACATAACAAGTCTGGCAAATTTCAGTGTGTATAAACTGAAAAATGTAACGTGCTATATTTGAACCTGTAACTTTACAAAACACCATAAAACCTGTACATTGGGGGTACTGTTTTATCCGTAAGACATCGCTGAATACAAATATGTGTACTTTATTGCAGTAACAGCTAACAGTATTGTGACATTCACAGTTAAAATGACATGCAGAACTAAAAAAAATAACATTTCTTATTTTCTCACATTGTTTTATATTTTATTCATATTAAATATGCTTAAAGGATCACTATAGTGTCAGGAAAACAAAGCAGTTTTCCTGACTCAAAATTGCCCTGAGGGTCCCCCTCCCATGGCGCTGAAGGGGTTAAAACCCCTTCAGCAGCTTACCTTAATCCAGCGCCGGAGCCAAATGCGCATGCGCAGCAAGTGCCGCGCGCATTCAAAGTGTCCATAGGAAAACATTTCTCAATGAGGCTGAACTAGAGGCTGAATTAACCCCAAATGTAAGCATAGCAGTTTCTCTGAAACTGCTATGTTTGCATCTGAAGGGTTAAAACCTGAGGGACCTGGCACCCAGACCACTTCATTGAGCTGAAGTGGTCTGGGTGACTATAGTATCCCTTTAATATACAAATATTTGATGTGACATAAAAAGCCCTGTTTCTCCTGAACAAAATTATATATATGTGTGAGTGCACATAATATGAAAGAGGTGAACTACGCCTGAACAGACATATAGCGCAAATTCAAGGTTTTGTTTACGTTTTGATTTGATCACAACTTGTACAATTGGCTCAGTCCTTAAGGTGTTATGGGTAAGTGCAGTTTTTTTAAGATGTATCCTTAAGGGGTTAAAGGCGAGGAAGAAAAACACTCAGCTGGTCTAAGACCTCTTCGTTCGTTTGTTTTTTTTTTTTACAAGGAGGGAGGTACCAGCACGCAGCTCCGTCTTTATAATATATAAAATTAGAAGCGGCAGAGACCAGTGCTCCATGCGATTTTCTAAGCCCCACATGTCCTCCCTCACCCTATTGGAGTCAATATGACACCCATAATAGTGCAGTGCGAGTGGGGGCTATTAAACTGAAGGGGGGACCCCTGTCCCCCACCCATGAGTGGGCAGGTGGGGGCCCTAAATGAACAAGGGGAGGGAGGGAACCCATTGTCCCCCCCCAGCCCCCACGATGATCGGCGGGTGGGGGTCCTCAATAAAAATTGGGGGTTGACCTATTGTCCTCCTCCCCCCCACCCATGAAAGGCGGGTGGGAGCCCCAAATTATAATAGGGGGTGACCTATTGTCCTCTCTGCCCCCACCCAGGAGCGTAGGTGGGGCCCTAAATGAAAATGGGGAGGGGGTGGACCTATTGAAAGGGAGAATAGGTCCCCCCCTATTTAGATGACAATAGGGTGGGGACCTATTGTCCCTTTCAATTTGAAAAGCAATCACAGTGTTATCAGTCAAATTACACAGCATGGTAAAATTCTAAAGAACTTTCCCACGCTGTGTAAAATGACACAGAGAACTCTGATTGGTTGGATTTCAAGCCAACCAATCAGAGTTCTATGACAGGTAAATGTAGAGACTTACCTGTCAGTCTCTTCCTTTACCTGTCAGAGCACTCTGATTGGTTGGCTTAAACCAACCAATCAGAGCACTCTGAGCCTAATTGCAGAGCGTGGGTAGGCTTTATAAACCTTCCCCACCCTGCAGATGCTCAGTCTGCGCCGTGCCCTCCATGGGTGAAGATGGATTATTTATTTTTTTTGTCGTTTTTTTTTTTATTTTTTTTTTACTCAGATTTTATTTTTTTTCTTCAAAGATCGATGGGTATTATGGATTTTTATTTGGCCTTTTTGGGGGCTGAAAAAAGAAGGTTTTTAGAAAAAAGAAGACCAATTTGTTTTATTTACAGGTATGTCGTTTTATGGTCCTCCCTCACTATTTTTAGGGTGGAATTAGGTAGGAATTTATTATTATTAATTGGGGATGAGGGGGGTTGACTAGGGGCTTTGGACCCCTAGTCACCTGGGGGGGTTACATTTAGCCCCCACCCACCGCCCATGGGTGGGGGCCAGGGGGAGGACGAAAGGTCCACCACCTATCGCTCATGGGTGTGGGTTTACTTAGTATTAGTAAATTTGGCTGAAAGATCAATTTAGGTCTTTGAGCCTTTTGGTAGATAGCTCCCTAATACCGTGGGAATTAGGAAGTTATCTGCTAAGCGGTTGCAAGATGCAGCCGCGGTATGAATCGGATCGTAATTTCATTCATTCGAATTAAATTCCGATCTGAACAAAGTCCCGAATTGCGTCCTAACATGAATGAACAAACTGTTCTCATTCTGTTATGGCGAAATTCGGTAGTTTCACCAGCGTTCTGTCTAAGTGACAGGACGTTCGGAAATACTGACAGGAAGCATTGTCGAGATCACGGAGGAAAGGTTGAAAGAATTGTGGAAAAATTTCTCTGACCACAGGAAATGGAGCACACTTTGCTCTTCCGCTGGTTAGGGATGGTCAAACGTAGGAAACCTCCATTAGACAAAGTAGTCCCTACTTTGTCTTATGTTTTGAGCAGACGGTGCCATTTTAAGCAGTATTAGGGTGCCCACATGTCACCGCCCTGGACCGCCCGGGACAGTCTCGCATTTTGAGAGTCTGTCCCGGGTCCTGGGCACCCTCATTCCAGGACAATGCAGTCTCCCGGAATGAGCTGAGCTGCACCGCTGGCAGTGGTATACCGCGGGGTTGGGAATCCGGCGCTCGCCAGTGGGCGCCGGCCGAGGGAGGACGCAAAAATCACTTGTCATACTGACAAGTGATGTTTGCCACCCTCTCGACCTGCGCCCCTGGTGCCCCTAGGCAGCGTGCAGCTCCATAAAGGAACCGCACGCACTGTACACTGGGAGGGGGAGCGCCTCCCCCTCCTGCTCTGCGTTTGAGTGCCGGGTGTCACGTGACTACCCGGCGCTCAGTCTGACACTGCGTGCGTTGCCGGACGTCCAGAGGTAAAATGGCAGGGAGGGGGGCTGGCATCATTATAACCTCAGTTGCCGACTGAAAAAAAGCAGCTGTCTGCCAGAGTAGGTACTTAGTATGAATGGACGGGTTAGAGGGGGGATTATAATTTGAAGGGAGGGGGGGGGGCAGGGGTGTAGTAATATGAATGGAAGGGGTAGGAGGAGGAGTAATATGAATGGAAGGGGTAGGGGGATAGTAATATGAATGGAAGGGGTAGGGGGGTTAGTAATATGAATGGAAGGAGTGAGAGGGGGAGGGAGGAAGAGTCATATGAATGGAAGGGGTGGGGGGTTGTAATATGAATGGAAGGGGTGGGGGGGAGTAATATGAATGGAAGGGTAGGGGTGGAGGAATATGAATGGAAGGGGTGGGGAGGAGGGGTTGTAATATGAATGGAGGGGCTAGGGGGGAGTACTATGAATGGTAGGGGAAGAGTAATATGAATGAAAGGGGGAGTAATATGAATGGAGTGGCGGGAGAACTATAAATGGATGGGGATGGGGAGGGGAGTAATATGAATGAAAGGGGTAAGGGAGGAGTAAAATGAATGGAAGGGGTAAGGGAAGAGTAATATGAATGGGAGAGGAAAAGTTATATGAATGAAAGGGGTACGTAAATAAATAATACGTAAATAAGATTTAGAATTTCTGCTGGATCACCAGGTATCCTAGCTTCCTCGCTGCAAAAAAAAATGGTAAGCAGAAGGGGAGCAAAAAAACCCCATTTATTTCAGAAATGCACAATGAAAATGGGGAGGCTGGAGCTGCAACTTACAAACAAAGCCACCTCACCAATATCTCACACAGACCACACATCCATCACACAGATACATATTGCAGTCAATATTCACACACGCACACACACACACAACACATTCAGTCATCACACACCGACATACATATTACACTCGGGAATCACACACAACACATTCAGCCACCACACACCTACATACATATTACACTCGGGAATCACACACAGAACACTCAGCCACGACACACCCACATACATATGAGGTTGGCTTTCACAGGGATTATAGGTAACCCAGCCTTTCAGCAACACTCACACCAGCATATGCAGGGTACAACATTTCCTTCGTAGATAAGCCAGCCTTTGAAATAGCCTAGAATTTTGGTACAAGCTTTCTGAAACATACACCAATATGTACTTAACTTAAAGGACCACTATAGGCACCCAGACCACTTCAGTTTAATGAAGTGGTCTGGGTGCCATGCAGTGGTGTATCCTGGTTTTGTGCTGCCCTAGGCAGGACAAAACTCAGGCACTCCCCTCCACCCCCGTGCCAGCCCCACCCAACCCTTCCCCCCTCCCCGCCTTCTAAATACACACACACACATTCACTGACAGATACGCATACACACGCTAACAAACACACACACTCACTAACAGACACACACACTCACTAACAGACACACACACACTAACAGACACACACACACTAACAGTCAGACACACACTAACAGACACACATACACACAGTCAGACACACACACACTAACAGACACAAACTATCAGACACACACACACACACACTAACAGACACACACACACTAACAGACACACACACACAGACACACACATACACACAGTCACACACATACACACTAACAGACACAAACTGTCAGATACACACACACACTGACAGACACACACATACACACTAACAGACACACACAGTCAGACACACACATACACACTAACAGACACACACTAACTCACTAGCAGACACACTCACACAGTCAGACACACACACACACAGTCAGACACACACACACACACTCACATTAACA